GGGGCTATCACTGTGGCATAGGGAGCTAAGCCACTGCCTGCAGTGCTGGCATCCCACTTTGGAGCTCCGGTTCCAGTCCCGGCTGCTCTGCTTCCGACCCAGCTCCCTACCAATTCCCTGGAAAGGCAGTGGTTGATGTCCCAAGTGCTTGGGCTCCTGCCACCCATGTGGGAGACCCACATGGAATCCCAGGCTCTGGCCTTCAGCCTGGCCCAGTCCTGGCCACTGTGGCCATTTGGGGAATGGACCAGCAGATAGAACATCTCTTTTTCTCTCTGTCTCTCCTTCTCTGTCACTGTGCCTTTCAAATAAATAAAATATAATAAAATTCAGTTTTCTTTTCAACAGGCACCAAGCTTTTATCTAGGCCCAGCTATTGAGTGGAGAGAGGGGGTCAAGGCATCACACGTAGTGTTGTTAGGAAAATAGGGCCATACTGCTTTGTCATGAAAGATTACAACATGGAATTGGACAAATCCAAAGTCACAGGGAAGGAGCTTAAGAAATGTCATACATTAAAAGCCACAAAAAGGGGCAGCGCTGTGGTGCAGTGGGTTAATGCCCTGGCCTGGTGTGCTGGCATCCCATATGGGTGCTGGTTCTAGTCCTGGCTGCTCCTCTTTCCATCCAGCACTCTATTATGGCCTGGGAAAGCAGTAAAAAGATGGCCCAAGTGCTTGGGCCCCTGCACCCATGTGGGAAACCTGGAAGAAGCTCCTGGCTCCTGGCTCTGGACCGTTGCAGCCAACTGGGGAGTGAATCAGCAGATAGAAGACCTCTCTCTCTCTCTCTCTCTCTCTCTCTCTCCTCTCTCTGTGTAACTTTGACTTTCAAATCAATCAATCAATCTATCTATCTATCTATCTATCTTTTTTTTTTTTATCTTTTATTTAATGAATATAAATTTCCAAAGTACGACTCATGGGTTACAATGGCTTCCCCCCCCATACCGTCCCTCCCACCCACAACCCTCCCCTTTCCCACTCCCTCTCCCCTTCCATTCACATCAAGATTCATTTTCGATTATCTTAATATACAGAAGATCAGCTTAGTATACCTTAAGTAAGTCTATCTATCTTTTTTAAAAGCCACAAACAAAAGACACAGTGTAGCACTAAGACACAGATGATGATTATTATTTAGCAAACATTTTCTTTTTTTTTTTTTTATTGAGAGAGAGAGAGCTCTCCCATCTGCTAGTTCACTCCCCTAAATGTCCATAACAGCCAGAGCTGGGCCAGGCTGAAGTCAGGAGCCAGCATGCAGTCTGGGTCTCCCAGGTGGGTGGCAGGGACCTGACTTCCTGAGCCAGCACCCGCCGCCTTCGGGGGTGCACATTAGCAAGAAGCTACAGTCGGAAGCAGAGCTGGGTCTCAAACCCAGGCACGTTGATATTGGATGCAAATGTTGATATTGGATGGCACATTGATACTGGATGGGCCGCACATCCACCCACAGCAAGCATTTCTTAAGCAGCTAGTTTGAGACACAGGGCCAGGAGGAAGATACAAAAGGACTACAACCAGACTCTGCCTGGCCGCTCCCCTGCCCTCTGCGCCCCCAGCAAACGCCTATGCTCTGCTCCCCAGTGTTCAGGTTAAGAGCCTGTCTCTTTGAAGCCCTCTCCTGCCTCCTTCCGCAGTGACAGCTTCTTCATAGCACTCTTGAGTACACCTCTTCCAGCGCTTCTCACAGTTGATCATGATTTCTGCAAACGTACTCATGCACACTTTCTCCTTCCCTGAGTCAGCTTCTGCTGTGTTGAATTTCTCCACTGTTTGTTTTCTACTTCATTCACATTAGTTTTATCTTTATTATTATACTTTTGATTTTATTCTGTTCTTTTTCTAGTGTCTTGACTTGAAGTCTAAACAATTTTTTTTTTTTTTGACAGGCAGAGTGGACAGTGAGAGAGAGAGACAGAGAGAAAGGTCTTCCTTTGCCGTTGGTTCACCCTCCAATGGCTGCCGCGGCCAGCGCGCTAAGGCCGGCGCACCGCGCTGATCCGATGGCAGGAGCCAGGAGCCAGGTGCTTTTCCTGGTCTCCCATGGGGTGCAGGGCCCAAGCACCTGGGCCATCCTCCACTGCACTCCCGGGCCACAGCAGAGACCTGGCCTGGAAGAGGGGCAACTGGGACAGAATCCGGCGCCCCAACCGGGACTAGAACCCGGTGTGCCGGTGCCGCTAGGCGGAGGATTAGCCTAGTGAGCCGCGGCGCCGGCCGAAGTCTAAACAATTTTTAAAAATATCTTTATTAAGAATATAGCATAAAATTTGCCATTTTAACTGATTTTAAGTATATGACTCAGTGGCATCAATTAGATTCTTAATAGCTATCACCATTATTTCCAAAATTTTTCATCACCTTAAATAGAAAACTCTGTCCTCATTAGTTAGATCTCCTTTCCTACCTACCCCTCGCTACTGGTTAACCTCTGATCTACTTTCTGTCTTTATGAATTTTCCTATTCTAGGTATTTTATGTGAGTAGAGTCATTTAATACTTGTTCTTTTGTGTCTGGCTTACTTCACTCAGCCCGGTGTTCCTAAGATCCATCCATGTTGCAGCACGTGTCAGAATCTTATTATTTTTCATGGCTGAGTAATATTCTATTGAGTAATATTCTATTGCACATACACACCATATTTTGATTACACATTCATCCACTGACGACAGCTGGGTTGTTTCGATTTTTGGACTATCCTGAATAATTCCATGAATGCTGGCATGCCAGGCTGTGTTGGAGTCTATTTCTTAATTCTTTGAGTTTATTGCCTAAAAGCACTCTTTCATATCACTGCTACTTCCAGTAGACCATAGTCCCTTAGGGCTCATCTCATTCATTTTTACATCCCTAAGCTGAGTACAAGCCAAACACATACACCATAGCACTGGGTGTGGGTCTGGTAAACAAGCGAATAATGATAATCATATTGTACATCTGTGAATCCCTCTGCAGCTTAGAAAGCATTGATCCATTTTTATTTGAGCTTCATAATGATCGTGAGGTAGGTAGGCAGGTCTGAGCTCTTATTTCTGGGAGTCTGCCAAGGGTCAAGCAACCAGTGCCAGATTCGTTGAGATTCAAATGCATATCCTCCTCTTTCTGGCCCAATCTGATTCTCAACCTGTCTTGCTATCTTGCCTGTTATTTCTGACAATCACTGGTGAGAATACCCATTCTTACTAAAAACTGCTTACAGGACTGCAAATAAAGATTTTCCTGTAGAAGAGCTGGAGGAGACTGGAGGGGGTCTTGATTTGTCCTCATGCCTAGTGAAGCAGTTCTTCCTTGGAATTATACGATAAGAGTAATATTTTATTTTTGTATTATTTATTTATTCAAGAGGCAGAGAGAATGAGAGATGGACAGAGCTTCTAGCTGCTGGTTCACTCCAAAAATTCTGGCAAGGGTTGGGGCTGGGAACTCAATCCACGTCTCCCATGTGGGTGGCTGTGACTCATTACTTGAACCATCAGCTGCTGCCTCCCAGGGCCTGTACTAGAAGCTGGAATTGGGAGCCGGAGCCAGGCATCAAGCCTATGCACTCTTACAGGATGCCTATATATATATATATATGTGTCTTAACCACATCTTTCAGAGTAATCTGTTAGCATCAGCAACTTGATGGCATTCATGTTCTGTGGGAAAACCTGAGGCAGTTTTGTGTGTCTCAAGCGTTCACATACACACACACACACACACAGCACCACAAAACCCTAACAGGTCTACTGCAGATTCTAGCCCTTGACTTCCAAACTCCCATCTGAACAGGGACTAGGGAACTAACTTGAATGAGCCAGCTGGCCGGGTACAAGGTGAAAAACAGCAGCTGGCACTTGGCTGGGACAGGGGGAATTGATACGTGTTTCCGCTGTGGCAGCCTGGAGAGCACACGCTAGGTCCATAGAGGGCAGCTGGCACACAGATCCAGGTTGGCCGTGCCTTTCAACTTTCTTAAGAGAAGTAGAAATGAGCATATTTTGTGTGAATTTTAAGTATTTTTAATACTGGGAATGACCTCCAATTAAAAAAATCAGTAGCACCAAACTTGGTGTGAATCAGAGAAACATGGATGTTACCCTCTGGGGCGGGGAGCTCAGCTCTTCCCTGGTGTTCCTCCTGGCTCCCCTGCCAAATCCCTGGGTTCTCCAGCCACAGCAAGCACCCCTGCACCTCCAGGGCAGTGGTTCTCCACCTGGGTGCGCAGGAGAATCACTGGGGAGTGGGGAGAAACAAAAGTGCTATCCTGGCCCTGCTCCTGGTCATTCCTTAGGGCTCCCCAGGTGCAAACAGATTGAGAGCTCTCAATGCCAACTGGACTTCCTGCCTCCAGTGGTCAACTGTCCTCTGGTCAGTTGTCCACACTGCAGCAAGAGTATTTTAGAGGCTGGCGTTGTGATGCAGTAGGTTAAGTTCAAGTCCCAGCTGCTCCACTTCCGATCCAGCTTCTTGCCAATGCTACTGGGAAAGCAGCAGATGATGGCCCAAATGCTTAGGCCCCTGCCACCCACATGGGGAGACCCAGATGGCATTCCAGGTTTCTGGCTTCAACCTGCCCTAGCCCTGACCGTTGCAGCCATATGGGGAGTAAACCATCATGATGGAAGATTTCTTTCTTCTAACTCTTTCAAATAAAGACTTATTTTATTTATTTGAAAGACAGAGTTACAGGGATGCTGAATGCTTTAAAAACCTGCTCAGCCCTCCTGTGGCTGCCGTCTGCGGTCATGATAAATGGCTCTGCATGTGCCCAAGATCTCATGCCCTCCCAGCCTCCTCCCCGTCCACGGCCACCCCTGCTCCTTGCCCCCAATGCCCTTGGCTTCAGCTGCCCTGACCGCCTTGAAGTTTCACGGACACACTGGACCCTTGAGCGCGGGGAACCTTCAGCTGTGTACAGTTGGAGAAGCCTGTGTGACACCCGTCACCAGGGCACTGCTACAGCGAGGGCGAGGGATCTGGGGCCGCTGCAGTGGCGCGGGGAGGTGACTCACATTGGTTCTGTCCTCAGAAAGATGGAAAGTCCCTTGAAAGCGGGGAGTACAATTCTGGCTCAACCCCGCTTGCCAACAGCCAAGTCCCGCGGACAGGAAGTCAGTCCCGAACTGAGCGGAAATGACGCTCTCCGGAAATGTTCTCCCCACCACTCAGCTGCTGGGGGAGGGAGCGCTGCCCAAACCGGAAGGAGCGTGGCAGGGTAACAGTGCGGAGCCTCTGTTTACCTGCCCACCTGCACCACCGCTTAGGAGGACTGGCCCATGGGAACTGCAGTGGCGATCAAGCTTATTGCCCACTGTAAAGATGGGCAATTGACTAGACCTTTAAGAACTAGAAACTGTGAGCGGGAAAGTGCAGATGGGGACCGGCAGGGGAGCCCTACAATGGAGCATCCTGAAGGAATGGATATGTAGCGGCCCACGACGGGGAGGAGAGGAGGAGATTCCAGGCGGAGGAAGCAGCAGACGCAGAACTCTGGAGCCGAAGGCAAGTGCGGCAGGGTCAGTGCAGGTAATTTCCACACGTCTGAGCCGGAGTGACACTCTGACCCCCTCAAGCTCTGATGAAGCAGTTCCCAAACACAGCGCGTACAGTATCAGAAAGAGAAAGCTCCCCTCTGGTGAATTATGTCCCTAGTCTCAAGAATCTCTGAAGAGGTGTAGGTGGTTTGGCACACTAAAAAAATAGACACTGCCAGGGGCCGGCGCTGTGGTGTAGCGGGTAAAGCCGCCACCTGCAGTGCTGGCATCCCATATGGGCGCCTGTAGGAGACCCGGCTGCTCCACTTCTGATTCAGCTCTCTGCTATGGCCTGGGAGGGCAGTAGAAGATGGCCCAAGTCCTTGGGCCCCCGCACCCACGAGACCCGGAAGAAGCTCCTGGCTTCAACTTAGCTCATTTCTGGCTGTTGCTACCATTTGGGGAGTGAACCAATGGATGGAAGACTTATTTTTTTTTCTCTCTCTCTCTCTGCCTTTCTGTAACTCTGCCTTTCAAATAAAAATAAATAGCTCTTAAAAAAAAAAGACACTGCCTTTAAAGTAAATCTTTATAAAAAATGACAGAGAGATTGATCTCCCATCTGCTGGTTCACTCATATGTGCAACACTCAGGGCTGGGCAAGGCCAAAGTTGGGGGCCAGGACCAACATCTTGGACTCCCTTGTGGGTGGTAGTGGCCAAAGTAGTTTGGCCATCTTCCACTGCTTTCCCAGCAGCATTGGCAGGAAGCTAGATCAGAAGTGCAGTAGTCAAGACTCAAACTGGCTCTCAAGATGGGATGTGGATGTCCCAAGGGACAGCTTAACCCGCTACTCCTGCCCCTCTCTCTACTTTTCTAGTAAATACAATTGATAGCTTTGGGATCCACAAGGAGGGAAGGCCTATACTTCCGGGAATGGAAAGTCCTTGTCAAGGTCCCCCGCGGTGCCTAAAGGTCAACCAATGAGGATCAGGCCCACCTCAACCTTTAACCCCCATGCCCTGAATCTATAAAAGGAGTTCTCCCAATCTCTGACTCGCGACACCCACCCACCCCCACCCCCACCCCCGTTGCTCTGTTAGGGCCATGGAACCTCGCCCTGGAGCAGAATCCCAATAAAAGCCTGTGAATTAATTGATTCGTCTGCCTGGGAAGATTTGTTACGTGCCGGACACCTTGCAACAATCACTTTAAAAGAAAAAATCTTGAGAGACTCTAGGAAAGAGAATTAGGAAGGGAGATGACCAACATCCAGGGAATAGTAATGTTTATGTTACAGTTTTTCTTCCAATAGCGGCCTTCTTTGGGAACCTGACCTGCTGGGACACAATCTGCCCACCCATCTAAGCTTTTGTCCAGGAAATGGGGATAAAGGAAGGAGATCCTTGCTTCTGTTATGTAGATAGGAAGCGAGGTTCTCCTGGGGTCACACAGCAGGAGCTTAACATTCAAGGAAGTGATGGATGAGTTCTGTCTTCCAACAGCAGAGTCCCAGGGAGAGAGGGGGAGTCTAGAAGCCAAATAAACAAGAAACTCTCCAAACCAAACATCTGCTGTGAAATGCAGAACACGCTGAACTGTGCCCCACCTAGCTCGACACACAGGCCTGTGCTTCCCAGGGAAGCATTTCCTAAGCCAGATTTTCCTACCATCAAAACAACTCCTTTTAACTTGAGCTTTCTTGACTACAGACCCCTGTTAAAATGTCCTAGGAGGAAGAGATCCCACAGGTGGTCTAAGGTTCCTTAGCTTGCCTGTCATCTGGTAGGAAGCCAAGCCCCCAGGGCAAGCACTGTGGGGATCTGGGCAGTCCCAGAATTTAGACACTTCCTGAGACAGATCGGTTGAAGCATCAGTGAGGGCCCAGGGCACTTGGTGCTGAGGCAAGGTTTGGGGAGAGAGAGGAGACAGAGGAAATAAGATACTCTACAGAAGAGAAGGGCATGGGCTAGGAAAGTTCTTAAAGGTCTGGCTTGTTACCAAAAGCCCAGTCGTTGTCACTGATGCCATTGTCAATCACGGGGAATCTGCCGCGGCTCACTAGGCTAATCCTCCACCTGCGGCGCCAGCACCCCGGATTCTAGTCCTAGTTGGGGCACCAGATTCTGTCCTGGTTTTTCCTCTTCCTGTCCAGCTCTCTGCTGTGGCCTGGGAGTGCAGTGGAGGAAGGCCCAAGTCCTTAGGCCCTGCACCTGCATGGGAGACCAGGAGAAGCACCTGGCTCCTGGCTTTAGATCAGCACAGTGTGCCTGCCGCAACGCACCGGCCATAGCAGCCACTTGGGGGTGAACCAAAGGTAAAGGAAGACCTTTCTCTCTCTCTCTCTCTCTCTCTCTCTCTCTCTCTCTCTCTCTCTTTCTCTCTCTCTCTGTCTAACTCTGCCTGTCAAAAATAAATAAATAAATAAATGAAATAAAATTAAATAAAGAACCATGCTGAATCAAAATGTGGACGAGGTTTGAAGATAAATGAAAGAGAAAGTGTAACCTGTAGATAGATGAGGAGGTAGCAGACTCATGTCTCACAACTACAGCCCTGCCGAAGGGGGGTGCTTTGGGGATTTTTTTTTGTGGGGGAGGCTACAAGAACAAGGGAGTCAGGAGCAAGGGGAAGAGAGGATGGGGACAGCTGCATGTTGACCTCTGGCCAGGTGATAAGTGGCTGGTTGGTGCCACAGTGGTTATCTGGGCTGGTACATGTTCAGCTTGTGCCCAAGTTTCTGGTTGGTTAGCAATGCTGTACTCTCCAGACAATTTCTATGATGGCCAAGTAGGCTTCCGAGCTTTCTGTCCGGAGCCTGGAATTACCCTGCATGGACCTGGAAGTCCCCCAAACAAAACCCCCTGAGACAATACTGGTCATCAAGGTGTTATCTATTGGGAAAGCAAATGACCTCAGGAGTCCGGAGACTAGAAGCTTCTAGGGCAGCTGTGCCATTCCCTCCCCTCAGTAAGCTCAGCTAAGAGACGGGGCCTAATGGAATCTGAAGTCAAGGCACCGTGTTGGGGCTTGGGTTCAAGCTTACTGCACAGTCTTCTCTAGGACTGGCCAGTACCACAAATCCATTATCTTTGTCTTTCCCTGGCTTTCCTCTTAAGAGTCTATAGCAAAAAAATAGGAATGTAGTAAAGCCTTTACAGTATCAATCTTTACGTTCTTAACTTCCCAGTTCTCTAGTGCCATCAGCAGTTTGGAATCTTGGGCAGCAGGCTGGGCGTTTTGGTCAACAAGAGTCAACGTAAACCATGGTGGCCCCATAAGATGATGAGAGAGTGAGAAATTCCCTGTTGTCTGGTGTGTCTCAGTGGTCCCAATGTGTAGTGCAACACATCTCTCATGTGTTTGCAGTGGTGCTGGTGTGAGCAAACTACTGGGCTGCCAATCTAAAAGTATAGCAAATACAATTATGTTTAGTATGTAAAACTTGATATTACAGATGACTTATGTTTAAAGCATTATTTTAGAGTGTGCTCCTTCTACTTATTAAAAAACAACATAAGGCCAGCGCTGCGGCTCACTAGGCTAATCCTCCACCTGCGGTGCCGGCACCCCGGGTTCTAGTCCCAGTCGGGGCGCCGGATTCTGTCCTGGTTGCCCCTCTTCCTGTCCAGCTCTCTGCTGTGGCCCAGGAGTGCAGTGGAGGATGGCCCAAGTGCTTGGGCCCTGAACACACATGGGAGACCAAGAGAAGCACCTGGCTTCTGATCAGCACAGTGCGCCGGCTGCAGCGGCCATTGAGGGGTGAACCAATGGAAAAGGAAGACCTTTCTCTCTCTCTCTCTCTCTCTCTCTCTCTCTCTCACTGTCCATTCTGTCTGTCCAAAATAAATAAATAAATAAATAAATAAAGCGATATGTTGTTTTATGATGGCAGCAGCCTCAGATATCCTGTGTTCATTGAGTCTCTTGAGCTCATTGTTTTGTCTTGTGCTGGATTTGATCTTGTGTGGTTTTGTTCACCAGGGCCCCTACACACACAAAATCCACTGTTCGTGTTGCCACTAAGAGGTCACATTGAGAGACTGACCTGGAAACAAAATTAAAAGTGATTAAGGAGGGGCCAGCACTGTAGTGTAGTGGGTAAAGCCGTCACCTGCAGTGCTGGCATCCCATATGGGTGCCAGTTCAAGTCCTGGCTGCTCCACTTCCCATCCAGCTCTCTGCTATGGCCTGGGATAGCAATAGAAGATGGCCCAAGTCCTTGGGCCCCTGCACCTGCATGGGAGACCCGGAAGAAGCTCCTGCCTCCTGGTTTTGGATGAGCACAGCTCCAACCACTGCAGCCATTTGGGGAGTGAACCAGCAGATAGAAGACCTCTCTTTCTCTCTCTTTGTGCCTCTGCCTTTGCTTCTCTGTAACTCTGCCTTTCAAATAAAAATAAATCTTAAATAAAACCAAGTGATTCAGGACTACAAAGGTGGAAAACCAGTGATGGTCAGTGCTCCATTCCACAATAGCCTTGATCTTGAAGAACAAGAACAAATGGATGGAAGCTATTAAAGGATCTGCTTGAGCTGTGCTGCAGCAGGTTAACGCCCTGGCCTGAAGCACTGGCATCCCATATGGGCGCCGGTTCGAGACTTGGCTACTTCACTTATGTCCAGCTCTCTGCTATGGCCTGGGAAAG